TCCCTAGAACCTCTTCCTTTCATGTATTTTGTCTTTGATGCGATGATGGCAAGTCCAATCCGCCTAGCTTCAGCCTTCAGTCTGATGTACGTTTCCGCCATCGTCTCAAAGTTCCGTGCCATGATGTTGATGTCATCGGCGAAGCCAAGAAGCTGGATGGACTTCCTGAAGATCGTGCAACTCGTGTCTATCCCAGCTCTTCTGATCACACCTTCTAACGCGGTGTTGAATAGCAGACACGAAACTCCATCACCTTGCCGTAACCTCCTTCGAGATTCAAAGGGACTCGGAGAGTGTCCCCGATACTCGAACAACGTACATCACTCGATGCATCGTCGCCTTGACCATTCGCGTCAGTTCATCCGGAAATCCGTACTGGTGCATAATCTGCCATAGCTGATCTCGATCGATTGTGTCGTATGCGGATTGGAAATCGATGAACAAATGATGTGTGGGCACGTTGTATTCGCGGCATTTCTGCGTCCGTGGTAGCACGGGAACCCATGAATCCCGCCTGGTATTGCCCCACGAACTCTCTTGCGACGGCATGGAATTTGGGAGAGTACCTTGCAGGCGGTGCTCAGCAGTGTGATCGCGCGGTAGTTGCAGCAATCCAACTTGTCGTCCTTTTTGTAGATTTGGAATACGACACCTTCCATCCACTCCTCCGGTAATATCTCCTCCTTCCAAATCTTGGCTGTTACCCAGTGCAGCGGTAGTTGATCTAAACCAGTTGCTTTGTTGTTCTTCAGCTGACCGATCTCCTCCTCAATTTCTTGAAGATCAGGGGCCGGTAGCCTGTCGTTTTCTGCGCGTACTCCAAGGCCTGTTGCTGCGCCACCTTCATTTTCTGCTGCTCCACCGTTGAGGTGCTCGTCATAGTACTGCTTCCACCTCTCAATCACCTCACAGTCGTACGTGAGAAAGTTAACGTCCAAGTCCTTGCCATATCGGCTTGCGGCACGTAGCCTTTGCGCGAACTATTTAGCTTCTCGTAGAACTTCCGTGTGTCATTTACGCGGTACAGATTTTCCATCGCCTTGCGATCTCGGTCTTCCTGCTGACGCTTCTTCCTTCGGAAAAACGAGTTTTGTATTTGTATTTGTATTTGTTTTTATTATATAAATCCATCTGACATCGTGGTCTTAATGAATAAAACTTAACTAAAAAAAAAAACTTTAACACGTTGTACAGAAAAAAACAAAATCATTCTGGTCGAATCCGTAGGCTGTTTCGAAAGACGTTGGTAGAGATATTGAAGTCAAACAAGCTGTAATTGTCTTGGAGTCTTCGACTTATCGAATCGATGGGATTGTTGGATCCGTACTGTGTTCGTCTCGTTGGCTGGCGCAATAGCTGTCCAGATCACAGCACTCGTTCAGGGGCGTAGATATTAAGCTGACTCAGCAATGCAGGGCAGTCTATTTCGGAGCGTAAAATTTTGGCTCTTTAGATAGCTTGGCTGAACTTGCGTCTATCCACTAGCGGTTCAATACTAAGCAGCGCACAGCGGTGCGCGTAGGGTGGTAGTCGTAATGAGTAACATATCACAAATTTCCGCTGCACTGATTCGATTCGTGAAATCCACACAGCATCGTACGGAGACCAGACGGCAGAAGCAAATTCAAGAATTGATCTAACTAGCGAGCAATAGTTTAGAGTTTTGTCTGTTCCGCGCTTGTCTGTATTGCTCCATATTCAATTTCGTGCGGTGTTGCAGCATTCTCGCCCTTGCTGCATTCTTCTCCTCTACTAACAGTTTGTATTCGCCGTCAAATCAGTCATTTCTTCGGTCCGGGATCGCAGTACCTAGTGCCGCTGCAGCAGTACTGCGTTCAGCCATCTTCAAGAGAAGCCCGCGGCGTGACGGCACCCCCGGAGAGATCACCAGCGGTACTGGCTCCGATCATTGGGTTCCTGTTCCCGCGTAGGGACGTAGACTCCTGGCCGCGGATCCCAGGCGCTGATCAGGGAGAAGTGTCTAGAGTGACGAACAGTGAACTTGGTGGTGGTGGGCAAGGCCCCGGGCCCAGATGGGATCCCGGTTGTGGCTCTGAGGGCGGCCGTTGCGGAAAATCCAGACATGTTCCGTTCTGTTTTTCAGACTTGTCTGGACGTAGGCGTCTTCCCAGATGCGTGGAAGCGGCAGAAGCTGGTGCTGCTTCCGAAGCCAGGAAAACCCCCTGGGGACCCGTCAGCATACAGACCCATCTGTTTGCTGGACACCACTGGGAAACTGCTTGAGAGGGTCATCCTCAACAGACTGTCGGCCTACACCGAAGGTGTAGACGGCCTGTCAAGCAGCCAGTACGGGTTCCGAGGTGGTCCATCGGAAACGAAGGGGCATTCGCTACTGCGCGGTGCTAACCTTAGACGTGAAGAACGCGTTCAACAGCGCGTGCTGGGGGGCGATAGCCCGCTCGCTACACCAGCTACAAATTCCCGGAGGGCTGTATAAGATTCTGGAAAGCTACTTCCAGAATCGTGTGTTGACGTACGACACAGAAGATGGCGAAAAATGCGTTAGAGTCACCGCAGGAGTGCCACAAGGCACCATCCAGGGCCCGGTGTTATGGAACGTCATGTACGATGGACTGTTGAGGATAAAATTCCTGGTAGGCGTGAATATTGTAGGTTTTGCCGACGATGTCACGCTGGTAGTCTGCGGGGAATCCCTCGAGGAGGTAGAGCTGACAGCGGCCCACTGCGTCAGGCTTGTGGAGGAATGGATGAGAACCAGGAAACTGGAGCTCGCCCATCACAAGACGGAAGTGGTCGTAGTCAACAATCGCATGTCAGTACAGCATGCGACGTTGACAGTCGGCGGAAGCACAATTAGGTCTGTGCGCTCTCTAAAACTCTTAGGGGTCATGCTCGACGATAAGCTCAGCTTCGGCTGCCACGTCGAGTACGCCTGCAAGAGAGCGTCTATGGCTGTGGGGGCATTATCCCGTATGATGTCAAACAGCTCGGCAGTGAATGCCAGTAAGCGCAGGCTCCTCGCTGGGGTCGTAGTATCTATCCTCAGATACGGCGGCCCTGCGTGGGCTGCGGTACTGGATATTGACTGCCACAGGCAGAAATTAGAGAGTACACACAGGCTTATGTGCTTGAGGGTGGCCAGTGCATACCGCACTATCTCGAGAGAGGCCGTCTGTGTCATAGCAGGGATGATGCCAATCAGCCTTATCATTAAGGAGGATGTGGTGTGCTATGACGCGAGGACCGTTCGAGGGGTGCACAACAACGCGCGAGTTGTGTCGACCGCGAGATGGCAATCGGAGTGGGAAAACTCCACAAAGGGGAGGTGGACTTACCGCTTGATACCTTCCGTATCAAGCTGGGTCAACAGGCGCCATGGGGAAGTAAACTTCCACCTGACACAGTTCCTGTCAGGCCATGGCTGCTTTAGGAGCTACCTGCATAGGTTCGGACATGCAAGTACTCCCATCTGCCCCACATGTGCTGGTGTCGAGGAGACCGCCGAACACGTCGTGTTGGCCTGTCCACGTTTCGAGCCAGTATCGAGCGCTATGCTAGCGATATGCGGAGTGGATACCAGTCCGCATAACATCGTTCATAGGATGTGTGGTACCACCGAGAACTGGAGCGCGGTCACCCACATAGTTTCGGTATTACAACGACAGTGGCGAGCCGAGCAGCAGTTACCTACTGCCCGACTAGATCGTTAGAGTATTGCTAGAGAGGCGCCATAGCGCTACAGCGGCCCCTCCCACGAAGTAATGCCTTCGGGCGGTTCCGGGGAGGTCAAGGGCCAAGCGCACAGGGTAAGGTTTAATGGATCGGTTCTCCGTTCCCCACACCCTGAGGTGTCTGTGAGCAGATTCCCCCTGTATATAAAAAACAAAAGAGAAGCTGCGCCAGCTGCTCTTCCGTGGGTAGTGCAGCTTCCAGTTGCTGCGCGTAATCCTGGGAAAATTCGGCGTCCCGTAATTGCTTAATGTTGTGTTGCGGCGTTCGACTGTTGCGCACCGTCTAGAGCTTTGAGCGCATGCATACTGATACTAGGTAGTGGTCCAAATCTATGTTCGCACTGCGGTACGTGCGGACGTTGATAATGTCCGAGAAGAATTTCCCGTCGATTAGAACGTGATCGATTTGGTTTTCTGTGTGTTAGTCAGGTGATCTCCAGGTGTCTTTGTGGATATCTTTGCGGGAGAAAAAGGTACTTCGAAGAGGCTGCAAAGGTCACGCATCGTTGCCCGCTTTTCCATACCTTTTGTCCCGTCCAGCAAAGTTCCTACAGTACTACGACTTCGAAGTTGCGAGGTTGAAATAATTAGTATACACCCTTTGATTACTGTGTCGCTAACACTTTTCATAGCCTTTAGTCAGGTGACAGTGCTGCATATGTTGATCGCGAAGCCCCTTCAGATTACCCAGTAGCAAGCCGACCTTGAGACACAGCTCGAGAGGTTACTTGCTACTGAGCTTTTTTACCGGGATACAGATAGTAGAGTTACAGACTTGATCATGTTGTCATGTCATAACCTAAATTGATGCAGGTTTATCTTTTAAGATTGCCTTGACTTTCAGCTAATTTGAGTGCTTAAGAAATTATTTTCATCAGCACTGGTTTTACCATTATAAATTCGTGAATTTAACGTGCAGCATTGATAGTACTTACTAACATTTCGTCACATAAAATTCCAGAGTTAGTAATGGAAAGCAACGAAAAACCGCGCGGGGTCATTTTACCCCAGGGCTACGTTATGCACTGTTCTTCCCTCTACATCTGAAATATTAAATCTCCTTCTCTAGAAGATGGTGCCAGTCAGGCAAGTAGATCTGGGACCTCCTCATAGAAGCCGTTATATTAGTATTCCAAATTAATAGGTGATGTTTTAATTTAACCATTTGCAAATTAATTACCTACAAATATTTATCTCCATCCAATTATCGCATCAACGCATTAAATCGAAGTAAATCACAGGACGCAACCCAAGGAGCTGCCAAAATTACGCAAGAATTGTACTCACCTGGAACGATGGCCACTGTTTTGAGAGCTCGTAGTACCCTGAATGTTCTCAATGCAGCGAGATTACCCAAATCTATACCCATAGTTACATATCTGTTGGTTGGGCCCAAGCGAGTTGACGATCGTCGTGACAATTTCCACCACAGATCACGGGATGGTGGAGGAGGACAAAAAGACGAAAAGAAAAAGAAAATTGATTAGAATAGGTCATTCGGAAGGTTCGCTTTCGTTGCTTTTAATTTTAATCAATGCTATGTCATGGGTGTGTGTGTGTGAGTGACTGAATGGGAAAGAGTCGTGCCCATGAAGTGCGACTCGATTTGTTTTTTCAGCGGTGAAATTGTGTAAGTTTGGCACCAGGATGGGTATGAAGCGCTGATTATTTTAGACTTGACGACATAATGACGATTGCCGCCGGAGTGTCCTGTGACGGAATGAATGCAGCAAAGAGGAAGAAGGATGATTGTAACCATTAAACCGTCGTATTTCCGTCGTAGGTCCACAACGTCGCCTACTGCCATGCTACGGAAGGAAGCATTAATGATAGTACTTGTAATATTTTCCTTCGTCTACAAGTGCTCCGGCGGGTTGTGGGTGGACGGTCGGCAGTGAGTGTGACGATGACTGATGCCCCCTATCCTCTGAACGTGCGTGTGTATGTGAATGTAGGTCGGGTGCTGTGAATGCTACTGTTCCCAGTTGTGGTAGGTAGCTGGCAGGGTCCAGGATGAGAGCGAAGGATTCAATTCAACTCTTGTCAGGCCGTTGTTGCCGGTGGGGGAAAAAAATGTGGTTGAACACTCATTCGCAATTATTGTTTATTCCATACATTTGCTACGGTTGGTTTAGAAAAGTGGAAAACTGTTGACTGCGTGATGAGAGGCTTTTGCAAATAGAAGGAAACAAGTCGGACAAGATAAGCACACACTGGGACACTGTGTTTGTTCTGCTTTGATGCGGTATTGAATAGTGGGAAAACGTTATGCAATTATTTTCAAATCTTCTCGAGATTCCTCTTGAAACTGTGGGAGTTTTTGAAAACTGAGCTTGTTCCACAAATGGCGGAAAATTTGTCAGGAATTATAGGAATTTAAAAAAAGAGTATTTTCTTGAGAAAGTAAGTCAGGACGATCTTGAGACACCGTGAGGTTGACATTTGGATGATCGGGGAACCTTATTGATCATCGGATTCTTGAAAGCGTATTTGGAGCCTTTCCTCGTATTAAAATGCCATTTGCTAATAGCAGCTATTCCCACCGTGCCCGGAGTCCCAAGTGAGGTCCCATCGCCTAACGTGACAGTATCAACCTAGAAAAGGAGTTCCGCTGTATGTCTAACTGGTGTCCACCGCATCAGCTATCTCCCACCAGTGCTACCTGTCCTGCGCTAAATTTATAATACTCGTACACACAAGAAGTGAACATTCACTTGTGCCATTCTGCCGTGGCAAATGCAATGATTCACCCCATCGTCGTGTCGGTTGGACTCCTCATGGGGTTGGTGTTTTTATTATCATTATAGTTGATGTGTCGTCAATGCGCTGCGAAGAAGGAAGGGCTTGTTTTATATGCCTGAACGCTCCGTCTGAATGTGGGTAGTTTGGTGGCCTACACACAAGGGTTGGAACAATTTCCCACGGGAGGTGGCTTATCGTGACAGCATTTTTTTTTCGGGCTAAGAACGCACCCCGTACGTGACTTCCCCGAACCGCAGCATGACGAATTAAGACAATGTGTTTATGAAGCACGACCAGCGATATTTGCGTGATACCACCAATCGTCGAATAAAAATTTACCAAATCGACCATAACCGGAATAGAACACCAAACGAAAAAACCTGGGCGGGTGCAACACTGTAGCTTCCAACGACGAACATCATCAACGTAATGATCATCGGGTCACCTGCACTGGGAAGTCGACAACAACAGCAAGGCAAAATGGTGCTTATGCCGATGTTATTGCGACATTCACTGTGGAAAATTGGCACCGTTGGAAGGGGAAAGCGGGGGGGTGGGGGGAGTGGAAGGTTATTTTCCATTCGTTGAGCTTTTCAACATATTGCATCGCATGTTTAGCGACAATATTTTTTGCAGTTGAGCTCCCCTGCAGTCCCTGTTGTTCCTCTCTAGCGAGGGCTTATGATTAGGGGGTTAGGTTCACTTGGTGCGCGGCAACTATTTACTTTGTTTCACATTTTAAAACTTTAGTGGAGTTGTTTTTCATCGCGATTGGGGAGGATGACAACGGCTAGAAAATTTTATTTGATGGCAGAAAATGAAATTTTTTTTTTGGCTCAATATTTATGCATCAATGCTTTATCGGATGTTGAAAATGTTCAAGAAATGTTCGTCAAAATCCCGGGTTCCCAGCTCCCATTTGAATAACACAGTGAGAGGGATTCTCAGGAAATTTTAGGAGACAACATTTGAACGGATTTCTTGCAGATTCATGGAAGATTTATAGTATTCTGGGAAAAATCTATGAGAAATTATTTCAAGAATAATAAGAAAATTGCTCAATGAATACTTTCAAAAATCTTTGAAGATTTTCCTCATGAAGCCTAGAAGGATTCCTGCCCCTGCCCCGTAACGTGGGTAGATCATCTTTTCGTGGTACGTTACGGGATGTAAGATCTACCACCGATTCCTAGTCCTGACTACTTCAAACTAGGAGAACATGATTTTTCAGTAATCCAACGAACACATCTTAGTCCTTGTTACTTTTTATGCCTTGTTGATAGTGACAAGACTCGGCTTTGTCCACCGAGGATGATCTTGTAACAAGGAAAAAATGAGTTAGTTAGTCTTCATCTATGTGATTCCTAATCTTCTATGCTTTGTTCTCTAGTTTGAAGTGGTCAAGACTAGGGTTCTGATGCCTGGTCATTATCGGTGTTATTCCTTAATTTTGTTGCTAAGGAATCCAATTTTGACTGACAAAGGGGCGCGCCCTTGGAGGGTGTTTCAACACTCCGAAGGGTATAAAAAGCGGAACCTTTCAATTAGAGTCGGATCCTTGCGATAAATGCAAGAATGACAACTGTAAAAAAATCGAATACTTCATCATTTCTCAATAGTGGTGGAGTAATACGACATGCACTAAACTAAGCACACGGGATATACTACAATAGATCAAATAACTGATCGCAGTGGTGTTAGATCCCGAACAAAGGAAAAAAAGAATTCCTTGAAGGTTCCTTAATGAATTCCTTGATTAATTTTAGAAGGGTTTTTTTTCAAAATATCTATAAAAAATTTTGGGCAAGGTATCTAGGTAAGAAATTCTAGCACGTACATAAACAACGTAGACAGTTTTTTTTAGGGATAGAAACCTTGTTCCTTTGTGTAGAAAGGCAGGCATACCGATTGGTAGCGGCCGTAGAGACTCGCTGACCCCCTCCGTCAAATATCTACATAATTTATGAACAGCTCCGTAGAGCTTCGTTTTTCAACCGAAGGTACGTGAACCCCCACTAATCGAAAAGCACATACAAAGAAGCGATGCAGAGCGAGTTTGATCGCATGGAGGGGCTACGTTGAGAATCGATGCCCTAGAAGAATTCCTTGATGATTCGCAGAGGAATTACTTGATGATTCCTTGAGGATTTCTTGTAAGATTTCTAGGAGCATTCTTTGAAAATTCTCCGGGGAACACCTTGAAGATTCCAAGAAGAATCCATTGATGGCTCTTGGAGTAGATTCTTAAATTCTTAAAAGAATCCCTTGGAATTCAAAGGAGCTTTCCATAGCAATTCTCAGAGGAATTTCCAGTAGAATCCTTTGAAGGTTCTTGGACTGCCGTTAATCACATACATAACTGACCCATACTTGGCAATATTTAAAGATTGTGGGCCATTTATGCGTATAACGGTAGTACAGGAATACTTAAAAGAACAAACCCTTTGAGATGTACTTATAAATTTATTGAGGATTTCACAGCGGAATTTAAATTTCTTGAAGATTTCTGGTGGTTCTCTTTGAAAATTTTAGAAGAATTTCTTAAAGGTGAATTCCTTAGTTAGATGATATCTTGAAGAAATCCTTAGAATTTTGCAGGAATAGGAATTCATAAGAGATTTCTAGATTGGGCCTTCCTTAGCTCAGTCAGTAAAGGCGCAGCTACTAAGCAAGACCACGGTGAAGGTGACTGGGCTCGATTCCCGGCTACAAGAAGAATTCCTTAGTATGAAGATACCTAGAGGAATTCCTTGAACATTCACAGAGGGATTACTTGATGACTCCTAAAGATTCCTTGATAAATCCTGGAGGAATTCCTTAAAAATTCTTACAAGAATTCCTTCAAGATGTCTAGAAGAATTGCTTACTGATTCCTAGAAAAAGCTCGTGAAGATTTCCAGATGAAATAATTGACAAACAAAAGAATTCCACGAAGGCTTCTAAAGAAATCCGTTGAAAATTCCTGAAGAGATTCGTTGAACAATTTTAGAACAATTTTTCGAAAGCTAGTAGTTTGCGGTTTGAAGAAACCTAGATGAATTGCTTGAACTTTCACAGAGAAATTGCTTGATGATTCATAGCTTACTCCTAAAGGAAATCATTGGATGTTTCAAGAAATAATTTCTAGAAGAAGTTTTTGAAGATTCTTAGAGTGATGCCATGAAGATTCCTCGTAGAATCATTGGAAGATTCCTTGAAGAATCCTTCAAATTCCGTGACGAATTTCTAAGAAATCCTTAGAAGATTCCTACAAGGTTTCATTAAAGACTCCTAGAACAGTTTCTAGAGGATATCCATGATATTGATGATCCCCATTGTACGAAGACTTCTATAGAAATTCGTTGAGAAATTTGATAAGAATTTCTCGAAGGTTAGAATAATTCTTCGGTTTGAAGATACTTGGAGGAATTCTTTGAAGATTTGCAGAGGAATTGTCTGACAATTCTAAGGAATTAATGTTTCTAGATTCTAGTGATGATTTCTAGAAGCAGTTTTTGAAAAGTCATATGAAAAGAACTGAAGATTCCTTGCAGAATCCATTGAAGATTCCTGGATGAATTCCTTAAAATTCCTAGAAGAGTTCATGTAAAGATTCCTAGAACAATCCCTTGAAGATTTCCAGAGGGATTTCACGAAG